AGACTGTAGGTATAAAAAACAGTTAAAAATAATAAGAAAATAGTTTTGATAAATGAGTTATGAATAACTCAGATCTGGAATAATACGACTTAGAGAGTGATCTATATATTTAGTCATATCTAGTGTTACTAAGGTATTTCTTCCTTTCGATGCGAGTTACAGGTATTCTACACATGAAATAGGTCGTTCTGTTATTTCCTCCTAAAATCTACTTGTAATAGTAATTAAAACTTTTTTTTTATAGATTTTGATCAGTTGAAAAAAAAAACGAGAAAAATTCTCCTTTATTAATTTATTCAAATTCTTTTGAGTATGAGGGTAAAAAAGTATAAGGCCTACGATGAGAGCGTGTATTAGGGGTTTAACTTTAATTAATGGAAAAATTTTTTGTTAAAAATATTCAATTATTTTAACAGTTTCCTAATACGTTAAACAGTAACTGTTGAAATGCTTACTGCTTTCGTTGCATTTTTAGATTTCTCGAATTAAAAACGTATGCTTTGATATATTATACTTTTAACACGTACACATGTATCTCTCCTGGCGGGTTTAAAGCAGTTCAAAAAATATTTTACAGCTGATCTTAAAATATTTATTTACAACTATTACACTAAAATGTCATTAGCCGTCCACTATATATAATGTAACTTGTCATCACCCAAGACCGGATAAATACCACTAGCAAGATATGTTTGTACAACTTCTTTAAATAAGTCATTGAAAAATTTTATGTTGTACTTCTCCACTTAAACTTTTAAACTTGTTTATATTTTCATACTATGTGACGTAAATGAAACTATATTTCACAATAGTTAACTTTTCCTCCATTGATGCACATTCCAATGCTTCTAATTAAAAAAAAATATTTCATGCATTGCAGCTCACGAGTTTTTACTTCTGTCTCACGATGTGGATAATCATGATGATAATGGTGATGATGGTAATTGATATCGTGAGTTTAAATTAAAACATAATTCGTACTTACGACGTATACAGAGAGATTTGCTTCAAAATATTTTTGAAACATAACCATATGACTTCAAGCACAAACTGGACATTTCCTAAATGTTTTATTATCATAGTGCTACCCTATAAATAAGTACACTGTATTATTGCTAATACTGGGTGAACTTATAAGGCTTAAAAAAGTAACTTGTTGCAAAAAATTAATTACGTTCTGTTTTGATATTATTCATGATACGTTGCCATACTTTTTTTGGTACCTACAAATTTTTGTACAACACCTACTTATTTAAAATTTCCACCAGTTATATTACAATTTTTCTAATAACATTTTTATAAAGACTTCCTCACTATTCGTTACGTCGCCTGAAAGCATGGTAGTAATATTTTTTTTCATCATATTTATGCTGCTGACAAAAATTTAAAATTCAATTGAGCCATTGCCTATTCATTTTCATTGTTATACGTTGAATTTATCAAAGACATTTTTAATGCATATTATGAAAAGCTTGAAAACATTCAAGGAATCATATTTGGATCTTTATAAATTTTAAGAAACATTTTTGGAATTACCTTCACATTAAACAAATTACGTAAGTTCCGCAGCGATCTAAAAAACATTAATCAACATATTCAGATAGTATTTTCTTATAATTATATATTCCACTGTAGCCGCTTTATGTTACAGTATTACCAGTAACAAAATTGTATATTACGTCACGTGACAAATACGCGGACGGTAATGTGCTATTTTTCTGCTGAGTGACGTATACGATTTTTCTTTATACCCGGAAGGAAGTTCGCGACCCAAAAAAAGTTATTTGTTGCTTAATTTGATAAAAAATTAACACACAGTCGTTCCGTTAATCAATTTGAACGCTTATGCGTTTGTTGATCTAGTGATTTTAGGGAAATAAAGAGCAAGCGAGATAGAAAACAATATATAGCGATTACGGTACTGTATGCAGCAGCCACGCTGGTAAAAAATGTTCAATTACGTATTAAATTCAATTACACACAAAATTTATATTAAAATCTCTTATACTGGCACTATGGGAATCATTTGAGTATGTTATACTTCTGCGATGACTGTTTTCTTACATGAAAAATTTGGATTAAAAATAAATATAAATTTTATTTACATACACGTACACAATCGCTTTTAGTTCTCAGGAGTATAGAGACTGAGTACTTAGTTATTTTCAATTGTTGGGTTTGACACTACTTACTAGCTAAAATCATTAATTTTACACTCTGCACTCTGCATACTTGTACGGCATAAGTATTGAGATTATGATCCGAGTGTTTCGATTTTTGTCAGCTGAGTGTAGTACATTGTTGACTATAGCTGTATACACGTAAGTAGCTGACGACTGACATAAGAAAGTAACTAGGAGAGAGCTGCGCAGTAAGTTAGTGCGCAACAAAAAAATTTCTGTCCTGGTCAGGAATGCAAAACTTTCCAGCCTGAAATCAGGTCTGGAATGCGAACTTTCCGTCAGGGTATAATGAAAACTACGATCCTTTCTATTCAAATTTTAATTATAATAACTAATCCACTGTAAATCCAAAAAAAAAATTAGGTAGAAAAATCTAAGATATAAAAGATTTAATCGTTGAGGGAATAATTAATTAAAATAATCTAAGTATTCGGCATTAGTCGTATGGTTTTCAATTTTTTTTATATTAGGGGAAAATAAAAAATTAGCATATTATACGTAACTTACATTATATTATGGCTGAGATCAAGCATTTATGCCAAATATAACTATTTTAGCCGAACTAGTATGGAATTAAAAGCTTCTTTTTTTAAATACGTTTTATTGGTTCTTGTCACGTTTCACTACATAGTGAATATTATTAATTATTAGTAGTTATAAATATTTCCATGTGAAAAAATTTGTGTGAAAAATTTAAAAAAATATTTCCTCGGCATATTGCTACTATTGTTTTTATTTATACAAATTCCATGTATTTCTACTACATACAGTATTTCTTCCTTTCGATGCGAGTTACAGGTATTCTACACATGAAATAGGTCGTTCTGTTATTTCCTCCTAAAATCTACTTGTAGAGAAATAACCTCTCTAGGCTAAAATTTGTTAGTGACCCCTCTTCTGAAAAAAATTATCTATTAAAATAGCTGTTTCGGCAATATTTAACATAAAGTGTTAAAATTTATACATCTCTAGACCTATTAACACATGTCTATCTCATCTAAGTTAAATGAAATCAAGGTTTCTGAGATCTTAAGGTGGAATAATTCGTACAAACGATTTGGGCGAATCAAGCTGCTAAAAAAGTAATGATAAAAATCTGACAGTTTCAACTTGACTGGCTTAAATCGATGGTTTGGTACTCGACGATTTATTACAAATTCGTATCCTGTTTTTTACATATGTATATATTTATTTGTTCCCATTTGTTAGCGTCACACTTTTAGGAGAATGATTAATTTTACAATTTATCGTGCAAAGGGTATAAGCGTGGCGCTTTGTTTAATTGCGTAGGACCTCAATGTTGTCGAAGTCGTGTGGAATGTTTCTTATTAATTATTCAGTGCTCGTCCATTATAAGTTTTTCAGTTATGCTGTTAAGGACAGATAATAGGAGTGCGCCTCTGTCCTAACAATGGCTTCTGTATTTGTATTTGTACATAGTTAACAGAGCTGCGTAGTGGGAGGCGTCTAGTTCTAAACATTTGAATTTCAATGATCATAAAAAGTATTTTAGTCGTTGCGCTAAACAATCAACAACGATAAGAAAAATAGGATTCTAAAATTTAAACATACATCTCCGACTAGCATAGTTTACTCAAACTATTAACATAAATGGTTGAATAGATCTAAGATTAAAATATGTAAGTTGAATATTGTATATCTCCAACATGGCAAGCTGAATTGTCATTGGAAAAGGTAATTGATTAAAAAATCAGTCAAGTCTCTAACAGGCAAATAAAACAAATTGTAAATACTTCTTTTAAAAAATTTGGATTTAATCTAATTAAAGATGTTGATTAACGTTCGTGAATTTTGGGACTCGTTAGTTTATGTACGATAGTTAATTTATTTTTGACCTAAATTTACTAATGACACATATACATACCTCCAGGCAGCATAACTTCTGAATTATTTCAATCTTCGTAACGTTTGTAAAGTGTTGGGGAATAACCGTATGNCTCTTTTGTGGATTTCAACGCGAGTTAAATTGGCCGAAACAAGACTCTTGTATTTTTAACATATTATCAAATTTAGATTTTTCCGACAAAGGATTTTGAGGCTAAGTATTTCTCCCTTATTCTATTGAAATTTTTTTCTTCTTTATTTATGTCGATTTTATTTTTTAAATTCATATTCCACCAATAAAACTCTCAGTTCGACATTTGTTGTACCTATAACTATCTAACTTGTGGTCTAGACTAGCGTCCAAGATATAGTTTATGGAATTTGATATAGTTTTAGTATTAATATTCAATTTAGAAACATTGGCTGAGTTTTGTCGATCAAGTATTTTTAAATTCTCAAAAAAGTATCGTTTCAACGTTGCAAGTTGCACGAGCAGGAAAAATATTTTTATTGATGTACGCTTCGAAGTGAACGAGCAATTAAAGTTCTATTGAAAATCAATTTCTTGAATTTTTTGTCGTTTTTATCATTTAAGCTGCAACTATATAACGATTTCTCATATACAAGAACTTTTTTGTGTGCGTGATATCGATCAGGATTGCTTCCATAGATATTCAAATCTATTTGTATCGATACGCGTTTGTTTTAACGAATGTACCTTTAAATATTTATTTCTTATATACTGCACGGGTTTTTGAATTAATAAACTTAATTATAATGCTTAAAATATTAATTTTTTTGTTTTATGTACACCGCATTTTTGTTTGATATGTTATGATTTTTCTTAATATTGTATAGTTTTTTTCACAGCTTAAATTACTATAAATTTTGGAATACCTGAGAATTAGATAACGCTGAATGTGGTCTCTTCTTAAGGAATCCAAGCATGACTTATTTGGACTTTTGTTACAGCTGGGGCATCTTTTTATCTTTTTTCGAGGAATCAGTGAGTACCCTTACATTTTTTTACTGTAAAGATTAATTTTTTTAGTATTTATTTAATAAACTCCATCATAATACTGTTTATCAAGATAGTAGTAGTTTTTATACCTGGTGACGTATGGCTTGCCCATGTTGAATGCACATCAGGGGCGAACCCTATTTTTCCTACCGAGGGCACACCCAGGCCTCAAAAATGCCCGAGGTAGGAAAAATTATTTATCCTTCGTCATTGCTAGTTTAGACGATAAATGCAGCACAAGTCACTCGTCCGCTACGCATATTAAAAGTATCATTTTTCGTTATTTTTACGTATCATAATAGCTAAAAATCTCTCAGCTTTATAACACGTAAAAAAGCAGAAAAACATGAATGTTTATACACACATATTCGCATATATAGACGTAAGAGGGCATCAGAGGTTCAAAACAGCAAATCTCGCGTACTCTGGAGGTAAAATAGTACAGCAGCGGCTAAGGCATGAGGTTAGCCAGTTGGCAAGCTCTGCTCGTCCCTTTAAGCTAAGTTTTCTAAGTTGCTAGCTTCTATTCGCTGTGTGCAAGGTCAGTGCTGTCACCATTTTGCCGGACATTTCATGTTAAAGTAAATGGGAGAAAATGACGCGGCGACCACTAGCAGATTTGCCGGACAATTCTATAAGACCGCATGTAAAAGTGACAAGTAGCGCCAGCACTCCCCTCAACCACTTGCATACAGAAAATAATCATGCTTCTTTTAGTCGCTTTTTTGTCGCTTACTTTCTCTGTCTCCCACTCTCTTCCACTATATATATCTTTCTTTTTTCGGCTCATCACACTTTCGTTTTTTTGTGGTAATTTACCTTATTACGAGTTAAATTAAATTGCAATCGTAAAAGGGGTTACATAGGTTCAATTGAAGAGAATAATACTGTTTATGTTTTTAAGCATTGTTGAGTCACCCATAATACTATTGTATTAAATTTAAAATTGTGATAAAGTTTGTAACGTTGCATTTTTAGCCCGGAATCAACGTTTTCACGTCGACGCGAAGCCGCCCCAATACAATGCACTAAAACACCTCCGATCACATATGACACCTAAAACAACAAAATTCTGCGACCCAATACTGTCTCAAACGCCTTGGCTTGGCTCAGCTCTGCTCTCCCGATGTAGACTCTTACTTAGAGGAGGCCCTGTCGCGGACTGTTCGTCGGGAGGCGGACAGTTCCCGAGGAAAATGACCAGGATGTAAATATTTCACTCATACAAATAAATACACCAACACGAATTTCACTTTTAGACTACTCTCTATTTCATTTACAATAGATGAACACTTCTAAAGAATCGACGCTACCTCCAGCACTAACTCGCAATTTGCAGTACATACATACTTTTGCTCTCATACCCCGCATACCTACACCTACATGCACACGCACACACTCAAAGTTCCCACACTCGACCTAGACAATGGCTTGCTCCGAGGTTACGACAACCCGGTTCGATCACGAGAGCACTTGGCCATAACAAAACGCCTTCGATCCCGAGCTACCTCACGCATCAACTCGATGACGAGAACACACACTACACATCCTCTCTTGGTCCGCAGGGTGTCCTACCGGCGGCCTCACCAGCTAGTGTGCCGAGTCTCAGATGATGCTGCGAACGCGTACACTTATTGTCACAAGGAGTCCTTACCATCGGCCTTACCCACCAGTTTACCAAGTCTCAGACAACGCTGCGAACAGTTACACACACACACACACTACGATGTCCTACCGCAACGGTCAGCCAGCCCCTTGCCAGCTGCCGAGACTCGGACAACACTTCGCTTCGAATAAACACACGCACTACGTCCTACCGCAGTGAATCGTCGACCTCTCGCCTCTAACACGCAGTGCTACAGTTTCCCGTCATTTCGAGTGCATCGACTCACTCGCGATTCAAGCGATCACGCCCACCAAGCTGTCTTCCCCGGCCCGAACGTCTTCCTCTCGAACAAACTAATTCTCTCACTCTTTTAGTAACTTCGTCCCCCCCCCTCGCGTACACCTCTTAATCTTCTTCTCAACCACGAAAAAAGCCACAGTACCGGCAACCACACACGCTCATCCACACGCCCGCTTTTTACCCTTATCCTCGACACATCCTACACTCGACAACCTCACCTCGGAGACACACATACTATGTCTCTCTCCCTCACTTCCCCACTAGTCGCTAACTTTACCACGCACTACGCGAAATATCTCTAAAACACCATCTTCAGGGTAGATGCCGGCGTCGTGTCTTCTCGATGTCGCCCACTGCCATCCTACTTCTCGTAATTGCGTAGTCTTTAGCCAGGCTGCAGATGATGACTCGATACTGCCTCGAAATCTCTTCTATCTCTTTCTTTCCCCTACTTCTCTCATACGACCTAGCTCGCACACGTCTCGTTTCCTCCTTAACTATACGTGTATATATATATGTATACACACACTCCTTATATTCCCGGCGCATTACAATTTTACCAAAGACACAGTAACAATACAATCAATAATTACAATAATCGCTACAAATCGACAACCCATCTATTTTCCCACCGACCAACAGACTCACACTAAAATGTACAAGTAGATATACCTGCGCACACAGTGTTAACGTTAACACCACTTATAGTCCTTTAATTACACAGTTTTTCTTATTATTCTCCTTTTTCCCGCTCGCGCTTCTCTTTGCTCATCCTCACTGGCTATATCTTTCCGTCATCCTCTCCTCTTTCCTCGCATGAAACATAACAAAACACAAACACAAGAACACAGGGCATTGAAACGAGCCTAAAACATCAAATTTTACATAGAGTCGAGTTTTGGTGTTTTTCGGCTCAAAATGAAAAATGATCCCATCATAAGTTTGTTGTAGATATGTGCTTTTCAATATATGCACGTTTTATAAAAAATGATCTATTTATTATTAATTTTTTGTACGTATATAAATTCCACGGGCGCAACATTTATTACAAATGCAGATAGTGTTGTGATGCTTACATAATGCCTATAAAATATAAATAAGTGTTGACAGGACTTTATTTATGAACTGCAAAATTTTTAATTGATAAAAATATATTTCAGATATNATGTTCGTAATTATTAAGTTATTACGTACAGTAAAATTATTTTTTTATTCAATGTTAAAAAAATTCATTATTTTTAATACTTAGTCTTTCGTATTTTTTTTTACTGAAATTATTGAATGTTGACCACCTCCTGATACCTGTAGGACCAGCACATGCCTGACATAATTAGAACCGATGGAAACTGGCTTGTCCATTTCTTGGTCTTTCCTAGTTTCGAGTTGATCCTCGGAACCCACTTCGCAGGTATAGAGTTTTCCTAATACATCATTGTCGAAATCATGGATCATCGAGTGTTTTTAGGCATTAATTTTTATTTTATATACTATCATTAGTCGAAACTAAAGGGTTCTTACCAGTATCAGTGACAGCAGAAGGCTGGGCAGTTCCAGCCGCCTTGTCTACGCAGTTAAAATTATCGAGTACCGTCACTGGAGTGAGCTCACTGGAGTCAAATTAAGTTAACATTAACAAATTGCTTAACGGTAGGCATGTGTACGTGTAGTGCTATGAGAGTGGCATATTTTAAAGATACATAAGTGATAACGCGAGTGCCACTGCACGCATTGCGTGTTACAAAATTGTGGGGGAGTCCACCAGTTATATTACAATTTTTCTAATAACATTTTTATAAAGACTTCCTCACTATTCGTTACGTCGCCTGAAAGCATGGTAGTAATATTTTTTTTCATCATATTTATGCTGCTGACAAAAATTTAAAATTCAATTGAGCCATTGCCTATTCATTTTCATTGTTATACGTTGAATTTATCAAAGACATTTTTAATGCATATTATGAAAAGCTTGAAAACATTCAAGGAATCATATTTGGATCTTTATAAATTTTAAGAAACATTTTTGGAATTACCTTCACATTAAACAAATTACGTAAGTTCCGCAGCGATCTAAAAAACATTAATCAACATATTCAGATAGTATTTTCTTATAATTATATATTCCACTGTAGCCGCTTTATGTTACAGTATTACCAGTAACAACATAGTATATTACGTCACGTGACAAATAGGACGGTAATGTGCTATTTTTCTGCCGAGTGACGTATACGATTTTTCTTTATACCCGGAAGGAACTTCACGACCCATAAAAAATTATTTGTTGCTTAATTTGATGAAAAATTAACACACAGTCGTTCCGTTAATCAATGTTTGTTGATCTAGTGATTCTAGGGAAATAAAGAGCAAGCGAAATAGAAAACAATATTTAGCGACTGCGGTACTGAATGCAGCAGCCACGCTCTTAGAAGTCGTTCAATTACGTATAAAATTCAATTATACACAAAATTTATATTAAAATCTCTTATACTGGTACTATGGGAACCATATTAGTATGTTATACTTTTGTGATGGCTGTTTTCTTACATGAAAAATTTGGATTAAAGAGCAAGCGAGATAGAAAACAATGTATAGCGACTGCGGTACTGTATGCAGCAGCCACGCTCTTAGAAGTCGTTCAATTACGTATAAAATTCAATTACACACAAAATTTATATTAAAATATCTTATACTGGTACTATGGGAACCATATGAGTATGTTATACTTTTGTGATGGCTGTTTTCTTACATAAAAAATTTGGTTAAAAAAAATTATTAACTTTATTCATATACACTCACACAATCGCTTTCAGTACTCAGGAGTATAGAGACTGAGTACTTAGTTATTTTTAATTGTTGGGTATGACACTACTCACTAGCTAAAATCATTAATTTTACACTCTGCAATCTGCATACTTGTACGGCATAAGTATTGAAATTATGATCCGAGTGTTTTGATTTTCGTCAGCTGAGTGTAGTACATTGTCGACTATAGCTGTATTCACATTAGCAGCTGACGACTGACATAAGAAAGTAACTAGGACAGAGCTGCGCAGTAGGTTAGTGCGCAACAAAAAAATTCCTG